CTTCTCAACATGACTGAAGTGTCAAATTTAGTTATTGATTTCAATGGCCTTCGTGCAGTTAAAGTGAGAACAATACACAAAAAGGCTTATGTCCAGGTTTGGGAAGCACACAATGAGGAAAATAGATAAACGCACTATTATGAATATAGGGTGATCACAAGTTCGATGATTCCATGAATACCAGATTTGGATCAAGATGCACTTGTAGCATGGAGTCAGGGTCGCTTGAGTATAAGAATCACAACTAACGAACTTATATTCTAGGAGCTATGAATTTTAGAACGCAAGGATGACAAACTAAAAATATGCACATAGACTGCACGAACACCGTACATATTACTGCTTTTGCACTTTTTGAAATACTTAACTTTGTTATTAATTTTTCAGAAACTAATTTTACCAAATAAAAAAATAAAAAAAAAAGTTAAGAATAGAATTGCACTGTAGTCCCTTAAAATGTGTAAAAGTGCAAATTCAACCCCCAAGATCCCAAGAATGGCAATAATAATACCAACCTCAAATATGAACATGGAAGGAAGCGTTAGATGCTATTGCTAACTCACCGTCTAGACGTCAAATTTGACATTTTTTTTGGCCTCGACTTCTTATTCAAGAGTAGACTAATAAGAAACAGTTTGAACTCATTCTTGCTCAATTTGGGACAAACCATTTGATGAAAATTCCTCAAATCTGGCATTGGAGTTGTTGTCGGACTCACATTTGTAGTCGATTAGGACGTCTGGCACTTTGCATTGTTGGACATTCTTTAGGATATGACTAAATTGCGTCATTGGCATTGTTGGATTGACATTTTGTGGCACATTTCGTGTTGCCTGAGTACCTTGACAATTAAAGAAGAGAAACCTCGAATGCATGTTCGGTATGAATGAGATTTTAACTTTATTTTCTTCCTTAATTATGTTGAATGCTATCGAATCCTCTTTACAAAACATGTGATGAATGTATAATCTCTTGTATAAAAATTTGATACAACAGTACATAAAAAAATTGTTATAACACCTTAGATGAGGTCCTTTAGACGCTTTGAAGATCTAGCAGTATATATACGACCTAAAAGAATGACCATACTCACACAAAAGTCCTTAGGAAGCACTGAATGCTAGGGAAAAAGTCAAATGAAAAATCTTTGGGAGTCATGATAGAACTCGTTGGGAATTAGAGGTGTGTTTCATTGTTTTAAGAATAACGCTATATAGCACTAGTAGTGCTAAAGTATCAGTTTATGTGTAAGCACATGCTAAGTTCAAAACTACAATCTACAAATTCAATTAAGTTATGTTAAGCTGTTTTCTACACAATCAAATTTCGAAAATCTTCCAACACCCGATGGACATAAAATGAGTCAAATCATCTATTTCTTATAGAGTATGCTATTTAGCACCACGATGATCATCATCATGTTTAGTTAGCAATAAATGATAAGTCCAATAAAATGGATCATATATCCGTGCATTCCATTGAATCTATTAATTAATGGGTGATGATGACCGTGGTGATAAATAACATTATTTTTTCTTATACTACAAAAATATATGTTGTTGAAATTACACTTTAGACCTCAAAAGTGCGAAGTTGCAAATTGACTTCCAAACATGCAAAAAATTGCAATAACCCACCTCAAATATGAACATTCTAGGAATCCTTACACACTCTTGTTCACTCATCGGTCGAGATATAAATTTGAAATGGATTCTTTTTGAATCTTGGAATAGTAGGAAAATTGAGATAAATCCATTTCACCAATTTCCACATATATGGTCAGGAGATGTCGAACTGACACTTTGTAGCAAATTGGGATAAATCCAGTTCACCAATTTCCATTGCACGACAAACATTCCTATAGCATATGACCTAAATTAGCATTGTCGGATAGACATTTTATGGCACATTTCAAGCTATCGAGCATTTTGACAATCAAAGGAGAAACTTGAGTGCATGTTTCGTGCGCAATATTCACTAATGCTCGCCAATTTAATGAATCAAATTTTAGCTTTGTAAAACAAGCACCAAGTGTAGTATTGCCCGACCACCTTACATTTTTCCACCTTTTGAGGCACTGTGTCCATATGAACTTAGTACTATCACGTAAAGTCTAATTCTACCACAAACGAAAAGATGGTTTAACATAATTTGGAGGGTTGAATGCCAAAAATCATGATTTTATTGCATTTTGAAAGTGCTCCTTTAATTAGTAGAAGTAATGATATTCAGAAAATTTCAGCATGCCTGTCATCGATGTTAAAATTCATAAGCGACGACTATCTTACATTTTTTAGGTGATTATAGCTTTCAAAGTTCCACGACTCAATGGGGAACTATGTCGTGACATTTCAAACTTAACTAACATAGTCGAGACCAACAAATGGTCCCACAAAGTTGCCACCATGCAATGTTTCAATTTGCACTACAATCAACTTCTTGCACGTAGACTGCACGAATATAGTCCAATTTCTGATTGTCAAAGAATTAGACGCTGTTTTACGCATTTGGTAATTTTTTTTCTCTTCCTTCGTTCTTGAATCTCAAAATCAAATACTTTGGCCCTTCAATCTCTTTCTCCAACTGATTATTCACTCTCACACACACTCTCTTCTTCAATTTGGGACTGTCGCTTCCTTCCAAATCCTTTTGGCTGCTCACCTGTCAACTTGCTAGGGTTAGATGATGAGACCTGTGTAGCAAGCCTTTCTTTCATGGATGTCATCAAGAAGGTGTAGATTTTGATGAAGATCACTCGGCTTATGTATCATCTAAACCAAGTGTTGTAGAAAGATACATGGAAAGATTATTTCTTGCCTCTTATCAAGGTTGAGGATGTCATTTGCGTGATTAAAGTGGACGAGAAGACTGCGTGAAAAGGAAGAGTTGTTGAATTATAGACATTCGTTGTGCTGGAACATTATTGAATATTGCATTGGAGAGTTATATAAACATTTCCAATTTTGAAATTAATTAACAATTATCCACTTAGTAGGCAAAGA